GTATATGGTTTCATGTGAAACTTATTAATGTGGGAAACCACTGAGAACCTCTGCAGTCTACTTTTGGAGTCAACGATTATTCTTACAAGGAAGAGTGCTTTGGTTGATATTGCGGGGGCTGTTTCCCCAAATTTATATGGCTATTCCTTTTGGTAAAGTTCACACACAATTCTCAGAAATATGTTATACTCTTGAAATATTAATCTAGATAACCAAAGAAAAATCAGAAGCATTCTGGAAGAGTGTTTTAGCTAGGTTTTACTTTTCTTCTTTAATATGCAGCTCATGAAGGCACAGAACTCAAAGCATTTCCAGCAGGATCTGCAATGGTGATGGAACAGGTAGCGCTTACAATGATGCTGCCACCTGGTAAGATGCCACCCCTGGTCAGCAGACATCAGGAGACAGAAAATTCTGCAACTCTGAAAATATCCCATTATGTTTTGTCTTGGATTCTTTAAAACAGGATGAGCAAAGGGAATCCAAGTGCCAGGGTCAGTCACGATTTCATGAAGGAGAACCCACAAAAGGACCATATTCTGAACTCACCCCTGATTGCTATCAGCCACCTCATGGCTTGCTCAAAGCAGCTGCAATGCACAGCTCCCAGGAGACTATGAGCAAAACCTTCACGGCTCCAATATTAAGCTTGAAGAAGCTTTTGAGCTACCTTAACTTCATCTCTAGAAGAGTACACTAGAAACACTGAAAACAAAGGCCAAAAGTGATGATGAAATAAATTAATTATTCACTTTGAAGTTTAAACCTTCCAGACTGAGAAAAGAGTGACTAGTGACTGAACTAGAATTCAATGAATTCCCATAGGAATAAATACATCTGGTCACTAGGTGTCAGCCTTGCCTGTACCAGGACACTGGTCCTTCTCCCCACCCCAGTGAGCAGTTGCAACTCCCAGCACTACCAACAACCACAGCAGTCTTGTAATGTGGGGAAAGCAGCAGAGGAGGATGTTTGTGTGGGATGCTTATGTACCTGGTAATAAAATATTTGTTACTCTCAGGTTTGGATGCTGGAAACAACAGCATGTTTCTTCCAGGCCGAGAAGACATGACTGGAGGTCAACTGCAGAGACAGCAGAGGAGTTATATGCTGAAGCAGTGAATAAATCAGCAGGGTATAAGCAATGAATCACTAACTGTTTTGCAAGCCTCACAATATTTACTGTTTATCCTAAAGCACCAGTTCCTGGAATAATGCCATCACATGAAAATGCTGGCTCTCACTTCTTAAATCTGCTTCTAGCCTTGCTAGATACCGGAACAATGCTTGGAAACAAGATCCCTGCAGGGCTGAAAACTGACTGTTGTCCTTAAGGACAACAAAGAAAACCTAAAATGTATTCTTTAAATAATTTCTTGAATACTTACAGTTCAGAACGGTACAGCAAGCAAAAACAAAGAGTAATTAAACATGCAGCAGAGTTTCAGTGGTGTTTGCAGAATAGTGGTACGTTTCTGATTTTGGAATCTCTTCAGATGGAGACTTTCATACCTTGATTCTCATGCTCCCAAGTCTGGGCAGATTATCTTTTATTTCGCTAGGGCCAACTACAGTACCAGAGCTGCACGTCAGTGCCTGTCTGCTGCCACTGCAGTTTCCTGATACGCTGCAAGCAAAGTCACCCAGTTCAGCTGAGAGCAACAGTTTGAACTGGGAAAAAGCACACACTTTTCACAAGATGCAGCAAAAATGACTTGACAGCTTTTCACACTCCATTTTCTTAATGGACAGATAAGCTTTTCCACAATAACCAAAGAGAAAATCATAGCATCCCAAAGCTTTGATTCCCTCAGATACGTACAAAGGAGTGCAGAAAAAGCAACCCAGGTAGACTTATGCAGCATGTTCACATCCTCCCTAGGGTAATTAATTTCATGATCATTCCACAGTAAACACCTCTCTTTAATGATGAACCTGGAAGGGTTGGAGCCATCCAATAACAATAATAACAAAATCCAACAACAAAGTCACAATTAGCCCAGACATTTCACAAGTCCTAGAAGTCAGGGCAGCAGCAATGTCACACCAGCCAAGTCCAACAGAAAATCAGTAGAATAATATTTTGACTGGAACAGTCTCAAATCAAGTACATGGCCCATACCCAGACTGCCTGCTGTGGTGATTAGTGCAATTGCCTTGCCAAATTAAAAAAAAAAAAAAAAAAAAAGGGCTAATTGATTGCACACTAAAAACCAAACACATCTATGAGGCTTCAGGGACCCAGATATCATTGAAAACGAGAGGAATAGCAAGTCCCAATCTGTAGGGATTAGTCCCAAATCTGTCTTTTATACAACCAACACAATTCATGACAACAGTTGCAGGGAGGACCCTAAGAAACACAAACACACTGGACTGCAGGTTCTCAGAGAGCAGTGAGACAACATCCGTGTTTAAATATCTCACCTTCTCTGACCATTACAAGCACCATTTGCAGACACCTCTGAGGGGCACTATTCTCCCCTCCCATTTCTTCTTTTGCAAATTCAGGTGACTAATTTCCATGCTTTGCTTACAGAGGAAATACATACATTAGAGGTAGCACAAACATGGGCAGTGTATTACATGAGGGCTAAATAGGTGGGCAGGCAAATTTTGAATGGCAATACCAGTGCGGGGCTGGGAAGCAGGAGTCAGCCACCTTCACTCAGGAGGCTTCCAGGTGGGGATGCCACTGATTTCTGTACCCTCGAAAAACTGCTGTCTCCAATAGTTCTAAAATAACATCAAATGTCTGATTGCCAGCATTTCACCTCTTGTGGCGCCAAGATGTCCTCTGACTTGTTTTTTATTAAATCGGCATGCTTATTTTCAAAGATGAATACAACCTAGTACATCAAGCTTCAGAAGTTCCCAATGAATCCACACTGGTGATATGCAGATCCCTAAGAACCTCCAACCATTAACTTCAAGCATCTCAGATCACTGAAAACACAGAATGGGATTCAGCTCCAAATACTGAAGTTTTGGGTGTATACAAGTGTGCTGTATGTCAAAACTACTGTCAGATTTAGATGCTCAGATGTTTGCTTCAGGTTAAATGTAGCAATTCTCCAGGCTCCACTGACTGCATCAATCAGACTACTACTGACTATGAAAGGAGCTTAAACAATTGTCTATCTGTGAGCACTGTAAATTTAGACTTGCATTAATTTTAAAATGAAGATCATACCTCACTATACTAAATTTATTGGGAACTTGGATTCCAACTCTTGAAAATCTGAACCACAGCTACATTCAACAAAGTAAAGAAAGCATCTCCCTTGTCAGATACTGAGAGTTAATTTATTTTCTTAAGTTAAGGTATTCCACATTGGGAGCAAGGCAAACTACACCATCATCACAAAATAATAATTAAAAAAAAATCCACAGATAACTAGTTTACTGTAAATTTACACATCAACTTATTTTTCATAGACTGCTCTATGTACACAAACCTCTAGCTGTCATTACCTGCCCAAGGAATAACAATAAAAATATTAACATCAAGAAATGGCAGACTTTCAGGCTAAGCTGCCCATATTTATAATTAGAGACCAGACAGGACAGTCCTATCAGGAGTCAGAATGAACCTTACAAAGAATGGGTTTCCCAAAGTGCGAGGAGGGACCGATTTGGGCATTGATGCATTGAATGCAAAATTGCCTATCCATTCAGACTTGTATCTAGTGTGTGTAATTCTGAGTTAAGTGCACAGAAACCCTTCTAGGAGTGTTTCTTGACTGAATAAACTCTGAATCCACTGCTCAAAAAGGGCCCCTCCAACCATGTCGGCATGTGTCTTGGAATCTACAAGGTTAACAAGTAAACAACATTGCTGTTGACATTTTTAACAACAAAAGCAACACCAGTCCAGGAAACGCAAGCCACGAAAAAACCCCTCGTATAAACAGATGCAGGAATGATCAACACTTTTCCTGCTCCAGAGGCACATAAAACAACCAGATTTTCAAATGCGGAGTGGGCCAGACAGGATGACACTGTGAGAATGATTGAGCCCTGCAGTTCCCACCGCTACAACAGGAGAAGCAAGAAGAGACCTCGGGAAGATGCAGATGCAAGAGGGAATATTAACCAAAGGAGACAGAATAGATCTGAGGATAGTTTGCTTCCACTGAGAAACTAATAATTCTTTAGATAATGACGTATGTTTCTGCTACAAAACACCATGATGGGACACCTGGGCTAGGAGGTAAAGGAACTTTAAAAGTTCATAATTTTCCTCTAATGGGTAAGAATTCTGATGCACTGGGACCTCGTAACTACATCTTTTCATAGACTAAACCATAACAATAAACTGAAGTACAGACTGTGAGTTACATAAAACCATTCCCATCCGATCACCAATCAGGAAATTTTAAGAATTAAATCTGGATATGGAATATTATAGTGTGTCTGTCCAAAATGGCCAGTTTCTTTCTTATTTTAGATATATGTAAATAATAAATATAGCACTAAAATATTTAAAATACACTTGTGTAGCCATTCCAAGTTAGAGACAAATTTTTACAGAATGAGTGCTAAACAGTGCAAAATTAGCTTTGCATTAGCATTTTAAATGTTAGCAATGAAATATAAAATAGCAATGGGAAGCTATCTTCATAATTGATCACTTTCATACGACTTCCTGGAGCACTAACATCAATTATGCATGTGTGTCAAAACAATGATGGCACACTGGCAGTGAAGATTCAGATCAGGGCCAGCAATTTATTCATTTATTCCTTTTTGGAAATCAGTGAATGGTACAGTCAACTTTTGGTTGTTAAACTCAAATACTGTAATATGAAGCATAATAAATTAAAAGGCAAGTGGTGGTGGTGTACACATAAGTAAAAAGGAAAATGCATATATATTAACTTGCTTCATTTCAAGTCTGCAGGCAGCCACCTGTAAGTATAGTTAGTATTAACTGGCTGGTAGAGTCTCCCAAAAAATAGGTGATTTCTAATAATCAAGGTATGATATAACAAGGTATGTACTTGTTCAAAAGCCTTTATTTTGATTTCAGTCTCATATATGTAATCAGTTTTATCAAGGAACCATTCAAAAGCATGACGTTGTTGATACAAATTGACATGGCTTTCAGTATTTTACGGCACAAATAACATTTCTTTTCCTTCGCTACTTGATAATGCTTTTCCAGTTACAGCAGGTTGGGTGCTTCTCACTGTGTAATACATTGTTGCATATGAAAAACCCCTATCAAAACAGGATATCCAAGGCAATCATCCATCTTATGAACATGAACACATGGCACATATTCCTAAGTAAAGAGAATGGCCTTAGATGCCAGTGCTGGCTTAGAGTCTTGCATCAGTGAGCCTGACCCCTCATATAAACAACAGTCCATTGGGAGGCTGTTTATTATGGATTTATTAGAAACCTTGTCAATAACTTACTTGTGCTTTTGATAATTCTGTATTCGGTTGCCAGGAGACTTGTGTTCCTGATGAGATAAAATGAACCGGAAATCCTCTATAGCCTTGTCACTTTTTTTCACTAGTAAATAAAAATCAGAACCACCATTATAAAATACCAGCTACTGTAAACAGAAGAGAAAAAAAGGCAAGCATTGCATATTTTAAATAAAGTAACATACAGCCCTTTTTGCCCTCTCCAATTCTAAGATGATAAAAGTTCACCTTTATAAAGTAGAATGACCGGATTTTGTGGAACGTGGCTGTTTTGGCTCCAAGGTATTTGTAGCGTTATAGTATCAGAGCCAGGATACAGCTGCACTGTGACTAAGATGTCGTTGACTGAATAAGTGCTATCCAATCCCTCAACGTCACCAGACATCTGTTTCCTGTTTTCATTCTTTCTTTCACTGTTATCATTTTATCCAAGTTACCCTTTCACCTGAAAATCATATAGAAACCAGCGCGTGCACGCGTGTGTATATCAAAGAAGTTGATTTAGAAAAAAATTCCTGGGAGCAGTTTGTTCATTTTAATACAAAGAGCAGGAGTGGAAACAAAGTTGCCTTCCCCCCCCCCTCCCCGTACCCCCCCGTCCCCTTCTCCTCCCAGAAATACACAATAATACATAAACACTTTTGTCTTCTGGTCTTCACTAATATGACTAACTTCCTTCTTCGCTTCCAGTTAAGTAGCTTTCCTGTTGAGTACCACCACCTCCACAAAATACAATTGTGAATTGATTCATAAAAACAGAAACATTATGGCACAAATAAGGGAAGGCAATAAATACTCTTCCCCCCCCCCTTCAACGCCTTCCCAAATGGAGGCAGTAGTATTGTAATAACAAAAAGAAAAAAGTAAGAAAAAAAAAAAGTATTACTTGTCATTTAAGGTTCCAAACCAACAATGATCAGGATACAGAACAGGATACATGTAAAGTGAGAAAGTTATTTACTTCACATTCGAGTTAACACTAGCTATACCTTTTTTGGCACACAGTATTATTCTTAATGTGCCAAAAAAGTGTTGTGCACCTTATAAAATATGAATGTTAATGTCATTAAGACCAAATTCCTGCTATTCACAATCTAATTTTATATTGGTGTTGTTTTGCTATGTTTCACCTATACTTAAACCACAAGTTAGGAGAACAACCATTACCAATAGCATCTAACACACATTAACAATGAACAATAGAAACTGAGGAGTAAATTGTCAAAAATTAGTGACTTTCCATTGTTAATCTCTGCATTTCAGATTATTTAATTGGCATGAGAATAGAAGACTTGCTTTATTTTGTTCTGTGATTACAGATGCTTGTATTAATTGACAAGGTAGTTTGTTGGGCGAAGCAAAAATCTGGGCTGCTTGACAAACACCGAGAAAAAAATTCAACTGCTTCTTGTTATTCTCTGAAAGAAAAAAAAAAAAAAAAAATTTTTTTTTACATTTTTTTTAATTTTCTCTTCCCCCCTGCCTTGAGGCACACCAGAGATACATAGGTGTTATACAGGACATTCTGACACTCAAGAGGGACTTCCCTAGGAGAGGGGATGATTTGGCAGCTACAGGAAACTGTAAGTAGCATTTCCAAAGGCACATGAAAATTGGAAAGCAAGACTTCTTGTGTTCTGGTTTTCCGGATTGTTTCCTGCATCCTAATAACCAAATTATCCCTATTTTAAAGCCAAACTGAGCTTCCATTAACTTCTGAGGAGTCAGTGCAAGTTCCAATAGATTAACTTAGTCTCCTCTCTCATCTTTCAATTTACTACTCAGTTCATCATCCCAAATGCCCAACCCTAAGCTTCTGTATGAAACCTGGAACACTCTTACATACTAATAATATAATATTCTGGAGAAATTGAGAAAACACACATTTGTTGTAAAAGATTTTATCAAGTTGGTGTGATTAAAATACTGCTTCCCATAAAAGTAATTTCTTCATGATTTTTCACAACATCTAAATGCATATGTGACAATGGACAAATTAAATCTGTGATCAAGCTGAAAAACGAATCCTAACTACGTACTTTGTCCATCACATCCCCATCCTTCACAATCTACTGTCACTGTCTAATGGTCATTGACTCTAGACTCTGCTATGCATTTTCATTAATGACATTACATTTGCGTCTGGACAAGTTTTAAATTCTGTTTAAATAATAAAAGCCATTGTTTTAAAATAGCTACCTTTTATTTTTTTCCCCCTAAATTTAGATTGAAAGTTCTTTTAAACTGCACACCCTGTCTCTCGATTCTATCTGAAGGAATAAGACAAAAAATCAAGATCTCTCAAGCTCTAGTGTTATTGATGGCAGTGGTGAAATCCAAAACATTGCTACGGAATCAGTTAATGAATTCTTCTGTACTTTGTTATTTCTGGTTGTTTTTAATTTTCCCCATCCAAATACAGGTGGATCTACCTTTTAGAGGTATTAAAGATATCATTTTCTGAGCCATAAATTATAGTGTTATGTAATATGATTGTAAAGTTAATATTAGTTTTGTACAGACATGCTTCTGATTTTAAATTGAGGGGGAAAAAAATAAAAATTAATTATTAGATCAAGTTAATCCTTGGAATCATCCTCTGAAATAAATGCAACATTGAAACATTTTGTCTGAAAAAATGTGGCAAATCATCACAAGAGAAAGTGCCCAAGCACACCCTTTATGTAGGACTCTAAGCCCTTTTCAACTGTTAAGATGCTTCATACACCAGAAGATTACATAAACAAAAATCTATGTTTTGTCTAGTATAACAGGAGTCTTAAAAAAAACAAACACCACTTAGTATCCATTATTTCATACCCAGATGTTTCCTGTACACCTGCAGCTGTCTCCAGTCTTGAATTCACGAGCTGTAGTATTTTAACAGCCCCTCATCAGTTGGTTTTAGAACTTTCTTGTCTGCCATGTTTACAATCCATCCTGGAGCAAGACCAAAAAATATTTGTCTAGGATCCTTGCGTGTGCTTAACATCTTGAAGAGCTCATCCTTAGTTATGTCTGGTAAGACATAGCTGTACTTCTTGGCAAGTTCAAGCCTGGCTTCCTCAACTTTAGATGGATCTGCCAGGTACCCACGATTCCTGGCGTCTGTATAGTAACGGACAAGATCTTCGGGTGGAAGCATTCGCTTTGGAATAGGCTGGCCACGCAGGAAAAATACTACCGGCTTACATAAAATTTCTGTGGGCAAACAGGAGAAAAAAATTAGATACTATGCTTTATAATGTGTATTTAAAGACATAAAATGATACCTTCTTATTTAGTATTTTGTGTTAAATAAATTATCAAACTCTTACTAAAAACTATCAAGCAAAAACCCAAATCTTAAGAATATTCTTGTTCACAATGACAAAGTTGTTTGCAAGTCATTGCAAGTCGCTTGCAAGTTTGCAAGTAACTCTGGTTTAGTCTGATATTCAGTGACAATCCAGATGAATCATTACTTCTCACTCATTTAGAATACCTGCTTTGGAAAGATACAATAACTAAGCTAGATGCCGCCATTTATTTAAAGGACTGACTTCCAGGTTAGAAGCAATGCATCTGCATGGCTATTTCCACAGTGTATCAACAAATGTAAACTTTAGTGTTGCTGCAAGTATTTTAAATAAAGAATCAATGGCACATGTACCTATTTATTGATTTGTCATACTATCCTCTCCTCATCAAGTTTTACTGAATTTGGCAAATTACATTCTAGATCCTATTAGCCTTAGTGTTTTGACTATTTTCTGGATTGGAAAAAAAGAGCTTGTATCACTCCAGGGTAACATATTTTGCACATTAAAAATGTCTATTCTTCTTGTTCTCAGCCTCATTCACACATGAAAGCTCCATTATTGTCAATAAAAACTGCATGAATGAATATTAGGCAGGATGCAGCCTCAAGTAAAGCAAAGCCTCATTCTTCAGTGAAAGTGTTCTGAAAACAATAGCCATTTTGACTGGAACGATTCTGAGCTTCTGTAACTTAGTTATTTCCTCACTTTAACTGTAAAGGTATTTTAAATTAAAAATACAAACATCCACAGGATTTCTTTTTTTTCCCTGAATTTTCTTAGTGTTATTAAACACATGAGAAAGAAGACAACAATTTAAATAAACAATCTTTTACTAGTTCCTCTATTTAAAGAAATCCAAGTAGCTTTGTAACTGGCTGATTGGTAAATGACTACTAACACCAGCAGGGCTAAACAGGTGAATGGTTAAAAAAAGCTAAACTGAGGATGCATTACAGATCAACATTTGGTATAACATTTTGTTGTTGGAACTTTCAGAATGGAAAAAACAGATGATTTCCCAGCAAGAACTTAATCTTCACACATTAAAAAAAAAAAAAAAAAAAAAAAAAGAAAGAGCAGAAATGAAAATAAATTCTTACCCAAACTCCTTGGATCATAGAATGATGTTGTTACAACACCTCCATTTTTTTCTATGGTTGCAATTGCTAATTCAGATGCCCTCTGCACTTCAATATTTACTTTTGCTGAAAAAATATCAGCACCCTATAAATTTCAACACAGAAACATTAAAATTAGTATTTTAGGACATACATTTATTCTTCTCTGCAAAGTTGTAAGAAACATTAATTCCTGCAAATTATTATGATTTTTCTGCTCCCTGGAACAACACAGGTAACCAAATTGTTCTCACTCAGTCACCTGGGTTGAATGAAAGAACTTTCCCTTTCCAAAATATTAATACATTTATTTTAGAATATTATAGTGTTCTGTTGTAAAAATACCTGTTTGACCTCTTGTTATGTGATCCTTAACTATCATTTTTGTAGCCTCTCAGGTTTTAAAACATCATCCTGGGTTTTTTTGCTAAACACACAGTGCCCTCTAGTGGATTTATTACCACAAAAATTCCACAGCAAACTCATTTAGAAAAGCCAAGATGCTTCCAAAACATGGAAAAGACGATCCAATAGCCTGGTATGGAAAAACTGAAACTACAAGGCTTTATACTGCCTGAAGTAATAAGTCTCTTGTATGCATACCTCTTCCACCAGCTGCACACCATAATCCCGTTTGAGAGGTTGCACTGTTACACCTCTGGCATTAATAAGCTGTGTTAAGTCAATTGGCTGCGTGGGGTCAACTCTACCCAAATCAATCAGGTACTGCAGCCTCTGAAGACTGAGGGGTTGATACTGACGTCTGAGGCTGTGGAGAGGGAAACCAAAGCAAAACAAAAACACCAGTGAGAAGCTTACAAAATTGAAGCTTTAATTGGAAATGGTTAACTGCAATACAGCACACTGTATTCCATTTTTTACCTACTCCTGAAACTACTAAGTAAATGTTTAACACACACTCATCCACAAGCTAAAATTAACTTTAATTTAATGCAAATGCAAGCCCTAGTTACAGCGCAGGGCCCCATTATGCCTTCAGGTTTGCTCACACACCCTCACTTCCAATGTGATATTAATCTTTTTGCTGTTGCTGAGCTCAGTTTACTCCAGAATACCTCTCCACCTGCTGACTGGTTTAAGGAAGCAAAAAAGATGAAGAAATTAAAGTGTCAGGATTTCTTGGTAAGCTATCAAGATTCTATAAAACTACCATCTTCAAAGTGAACCTAGCTTGGTAGCTTCACTGATACCTTCAGAAAAATCTGACCCCAAAAATACACAGTCAAAAACAAATCTAGCCTCTCCTCCCATACAAATTTAGTCAAAGGCTATCAGCCAAACCCTGTACGTGCCCCTGCATAGCTTGCCTATATCCAACAAGATTTTTTAGTCCATTAGCACTGTACCTGACATCTCACAGGTACTGAATAGAATCTTCCTCAAAGTATCACCAAGGAAGAGAAATATTGAGAAAATATGCATTAACCCCTATCCCCAAAAGAAGTTGGAATATTTTGTCAGTAGCCATCAGCTTCAGCAGAATCTGCTTTTGCATTTTATGAAGTTCTAACTTTACTATGCAAACCGATCCCCAGAACAGTTTTCCCCATCCCACGTCTATGTCTACTGCATACCAGTTTTGAGCATCGGCATAAATTTCTCATACAATCAGTTTGACTAATGCTTTTGGAAATTTGCAAGCTGTAGCAGAAAAAATGAAAAGAAGCTTATCTCTGTTATTGGCAAGCTAAGAAAGACATGCAACAGAACCCGCACTGTCAGACAGTTCCTAACAGGGTAGAAGTTCAAGAAGTGGAGGAACACTGCTGCAGACAGAAAGAAGAGTGAGGTGAAGATAAACAGGCAGAGACATTGTTCAGCATGCTCCCATCCTGCCACAATAGCATCTCTCAAGGGCACTTACAACATTCACTAGAAAAACATTTACAACAAATATTGAAATTCTGCAAACAACATTGAAAAGAAATTACAAAGTATTTTTTTTTTGTTTCCATATGCTGCCAGATGTGGTTACAAACAGCAAGACTGTATTAATTTCTTGTCATTGCAGAAGCTTGGGGTTTTTTTGCTGTTTGTTATTTATGAACTTGTGACCACTATTAACATAAGCAGCTCAGTGTCTGCACTCTTCAGTGTTTCCTTTGCAGGACTGTGGGTCTATGCTCTGTTTTCAGCTATCGAAAGTGCTTCTCATTTACTCTTATAATAACTTAAGCAAACAGGAAAAAATTACAGTACTTGAAAAGAGAGTTTGAATCACACTTCAAAACTAGTAAGACTCACAGAGTAAACCTTTAACAACCAAAACAGGTCTGTAAGTTATATTGCATGCATGGAGAATGGAAATATAAAAATGCACAGCTCTTTGATGATGTTGTATCAGCAAATGAAGCATGAAATCAAACTGCAAGTCTAACAGTTCACAAACAAATACACATTAGTCTTTTCATTCTTGAACTGTCTGCTGGGTGTGGCATGTTTTTGTTACTACTGTCTATAATAGCATTGTATGGGTACAGACGTTTTCATGTCCATGCCTAAAAGCAACAAAATGGTTAGTGAGCCAGGTAACATACATGCTATCTTAGGAAGCAAAAACAGCTTAAAACAACAACAATATTTTTTTAAAAAATCGGTATTTTGTAATTGTCAATATAAATGAAGGAAATTAATAAAACACTGACATACAGCTCTCCAGCTAAGAACAGTGAGTGAACAAAAGACATATTAGAAGAATAATTTTAAACATTAAAAAGCTGGAAGATGGACATGGCACAAACAAATACAATACGAAGAGAACAGAAGTGTCGAACAAGACAGAATGCCTGAGGAGAACAATGGCGAAAGATGACTTACCTCACCCAGCAGATTTGATATTAAAGAGCTTGTTAAGATCCTAGGTGGAACAGATGGAACACAGACAAAGTCTACAGTGTTTCAGGGCTAAAAAAATAGAGTCATGAAGAGAAGCAGAATAGTTTGGCTAGCAGCAGTCAGAGCTTCAGGTGAATAAAGCGAAAAGAAGTTACAAAGCAAGGCTCTGGCTTACACTTCAATGCCTAAGAGTCAATGGGACTGTTCCCAGTCAGTTTAATATGTTATCAGCTGCACAGACAGGCAAAGAGAGAAACAGGCAGGAGTGGAGGAGTGGTCTCAGGGGAGAAATGCACTTCAGCTGTAGGAAGAAGGATAGCCTGCTACATATGAGGGATTATGCAAAGAAAAAGGTAAACCAGCAGAGCTGTAAAATAACAGAAATAAGTGAATTAATTAAAAAAAAAAATCTCACAAGAAATGAGAAATTCTGCTGGTAAGGATGCTAACAATTCAAGAGTAGTATCTCATTTTCAGTTAGACCTATTTTGCCGTATTAGATTCTGGCTTCAGGAGAAAGATCAAGAACAGCTGACAATGATTAGTTTCTGAGTAAACGTGAAGAAACTTACCTATGTCCGTCATTAAACCCATATTTTGGTATGGCCAAGTAAAATGGAGTTTGACCACCCTCAAAGCCTAATCGGGGGCGATTTCCTCTTTGTCTTTCTCCTTTGTGACCTCGACCACACTTCCTACCTCCATATCTTCCACGGCCACGTCTTCTTTCCTTGAAAATAATCAATGATACATTTAGTCAACTACTCTGGAGATAAGTATTTTTAAAACATAAGGTTTGAGAGCAAAATGATGATTCTTGATGAAAAATAATCATAAAAGCAGTTAATAAGATTTCTGAAGAGCACAGCTCTAGGCAGGCACCACAAATAGTCTGAAAGTTTACGTGAACATTTATTCATGTATTGCAATAAAAGGAATAGTAGTATTTAATCCTACCTCTTACACCCTGTACTCTCCAAGTTAGAGAATTTTCCTGAATTACTTATTGGTATTTCCTCCTATTTCATGAGAAAGTTGCTCAGTGCTCAGAAGTTTCTGAACACTGACAATGAAAAAAGAAAAAAAAAAAAAAAATCAATTCTACTTCAAGGGGCAGGGGAACAGACTATACAGATGCTATGCACACATGTAAATCTTTTCAACGATTCAGACTTTTTAAAGAGTCTGCAACTGTTGCAGTTTCTACTTACTACCAATCAAAAGAGAAGACTGCATTTTAAACCTCTATTATTTTTTAAATTAAGGCTGTGATACTAAGCTATTAGTTTTCTGAGCACTTTAAAGTAGCATTGCAGTCATACGTAGCAGTTCAGCAACTTTCTTGCACTCACCTCCTATTTCTGACAGCAGAAGCACTTGCACATCTAAATGATAAATGGGATCAGAGATAAGCAAAGGCAAAACCTTTTTATTTATTTATTTATTTAAAAATCCAGGTCAGTTGCACCATTCAATACAATTCATGAGTATGCAAATATTCATAGGGTTTACAAAACAGGCAGTATACACTGGTGGAAATGAGCAGCTGGAGGTGATTGCTATTAAATGAAGCGGTGTCAGCTCGCTCTGACCCAACTAATAAAGTTTTCTATGTAAGGTGAATTCATTTCATTCATATACTGAAGAATTTGGAACACTAAGGCTCACTTTGATTTCTTCACACTTTATCAGGGATAAGACAGAGCCACAAGCTTCAGGATCCTTGCTGCCATGCTGCACGTGGAAGAGCTCCCTGTTCAGCTCTAAGAGGCATGACTGCATCTGTGCATCACTTTGATGGATCCATTTGATCTTACAAAGTTTTTCCCATTTAAGCTAACATTCACTGGAGTGGGAATGCATGTGGAAGGAGCATTGTCATGTTGCTAACTAGTCTCACATCCACACAACACTATTCACACATTTGCTCTTTTCCATTGTGTTCCTCAATATGAATCAGTCAGGCTGTGAGGCATGTAGAGCAACACTCTAAATGGTATTTGTACTGCTCATAAGCTAACTTTGGTTAAGGCACAGCAGTCACTGTTGGATCAATACTCAGGTAAATAATTAATTATTAAAGAGACTACAGCATGCCTCTTCACTTTTTCATTTTTTGTATTCAACACTCAGGTAGTCAAACTTCAAGCACCCCTAATCCTACAAATTACTATGCAGTTGGACTTCAGCTCAGAATATCAAGTAAAACTCAGGTATGAAAACTGCTCATTACATCACGGTACTTGATTATTAGCCTAACACCACAAAGACATAAAATCTGTTATTTTATGCTCTTTATTGTGTCTGTAAGTTTTCCAAAGTCATGGAGCACTTAATGTGCACTGAAATATTAGCAGAAAAGTCAGTACAGACATAATTCAGAAAAAAATGCATTAATATATTTGAAACATCATCTGACCTAAAATGCATAGCTTACCTGTATTACTACTAAATAGTATACAGTTCACATGTGTTTTTATGCTAGACTAGACCATCCCTGCCACCAAAGGCAGCTGACTTGCTCCCAGCCCACATGCTATGCTTCCTTACTCACAGTGCCTCTTGTGCCGACACAAGCAGTTGTGTGGCTCTGCGCTGCACAGGCCAGCCAATTAAACTAGATGAAAACTAATTTTTGTCTGACTAGTTTTCAGCCGGTTTTGTTCCCACACAACCTCTAGCAGCAGTACAAAACCCACAGCGGGTGTGAGCACCTGCAGGCAAGGGGAGGGTGCTGCTAACCCACCCTTCCTGGCACTTGCCCATACAAACACCAGATCACAAGGTGACTCCAGTTAACACAAGGACATTGACAGTATCTCATCGCAGATGGAATGTATTTAGTAGTACACTGACCAGGTTTTAGATTGTCAGACAAACTAATCAAAACTTACTTTTTTTTTTTTTTTTTGCTGCAACTTCTGTTTGTGAAGTCAAATGCTATTAAATCTGCTTATTTGAGAGTTCATTAACCACAGAATAAGGCTGTCAGACACCAAAAGAAAGACACCAGAGAAACAGAGCTGAGGTCACTTGTAAAAACTCTAACTGAAGGCAAACGGTTAGTGGTAACATTGGGGGAAAATGCTTATTTCCTAGATGGAGTTGCAAGCTACTTGCTAAAGACCCAGTGAATGAACAAAAATCTCTACTTTCAAGATTAAAAAAAAAAAAAAACAAAACAAAACCAAAAACGAACCAAAACAAGTGTTTTCCTAAACCCAACAGCTACCTTGTAAAACAAAAAGTCCTGAGAGCAAACACTGGCAGAAAAGCATCACTTCTATTAAACCTCAGGTTCAGATTATCTCACAACTTCTGGATGCTAAGCCTGAAAATACCATTTTGGAGCCTGGATTAGTTTGAAAAACTTTAAGAATCACCCCTCCAGTTCTGTACAGGGCTGCTTCTTCCAGTTCCGCTTGACCCTGGCCAAGCTGGGCGTTCACAGCTCCATGTGAAAAAACTTGGCAGGGGAAACCCAAGAGGTGCAAGGGGGAAGAATTTTCATCCTCTTGCCACAGGTTTATGGGATTACAACTGTGCAGCACTCACCAGCCCTGGAAGCACCTCTAGGGAGCCTTGAGCACTAGCAGGGAAGCGCTGTGTGGTGCTCCCGGTCAGTTCCCTAGTGCTACAACTTCAGCTCTTGAACCTCACCCCCTGGTCACTGATAGCTCCCCCAAGCCAGGTGAGTTTCTTCCTGGTTTCTTTTCTTTACTCCTGTATCACTTTACAAGGAGACAGGGAATATAATATTTGGTTTTCTTTTTGTGAAAACAAGTTACTCAAGTTCTTGAGTAAGAAGAGGTGCGGGCTAGCATCACATTCCTTTTATTTTTAAGCCTTTTAACCTTCCCTTTTCAAACGTATGACCCCATCCCATAAGCAGCTGTTATTCCATACTTTTTTACTGTTTTCCCCCGCCCCGCAACGATGGCCCTGAGGTTTAGGTAGAGCCACCCGTCAGCCGGTTCTCTGTGAGGACGGACACACACGCCGGTTACAAAAGACAAGCACAGGGCCAACATGCGCAACACTACCACCCGCTCCCCTGCCCTCCCACGCCTCTTTTGGCCAGGCCGCTCTCCTGGGCCTGCCGCAGGCCCCCCCAGAGGCCTTCTGACAGCCCTCGGGACACTTACCCGCTTTTTGGAGCCTGGGCTGGGCCTCAGGTTGGCCAGACTGACTCGGGGCAGCGCCCGCAGCAGCTCCAGTGCCTTGGCCCCACCGTTCCCGCTCATGCCCGCTCACCTCCCAAGGGCGGGCAGCGACGCTCCCCCCGGCAGAGCTGCTTTACGGCAGAACCGTAAAACGCCACCTCCCGCTCCTTCCCAACAGTGTCGCGCAGCCTCCGCTTCGCTTCCCACTGTCTCCTTTTCCAGGACTGGCACTGGTGCCAGCCAGGTCCTGTGAAGCCAAACCCGCAGAGCCACCCGGCTGCACCTAAAACCCGCTGGCCGCCCCCAGAACATCGATCTGCTAAAAGTGCAGTGCCCCGCGTCAGTCCAGAAAGTCCGAAGGCAGACACTTGCTGGAAACGTGCATCATCACAAGAGATTTTCCTTCTACTGCTGCAGTGCTTGATCACTTTTATTATTTTAATCTAAAAAGTGGACCTACTGGAAAATCACTGAGTCAGTATCTTGGTCTGGCAGGAAGTCCCCTCCAATGCAGGGTGTAGGCTTGCTGGTGTAAGGAACTGAATTACAGAAGCTGTCGCTGAGAAGTTACAGCACAGGAAGGCTGGTTCATGTTGTGAAAGTCACCCACTTCTCCTTAGCGTAACACCCCACTTTCAGCCCTGAAACTTCTGTTTGACCAAAAGCTTCTTCCATGTTGAATGTCTGCTTCAGCTAACATCTTGGAGGAAAGGTCACGCAACAGCTCTGCCAGTTCTGAGTAAATAGGGGTGAAATGGAAACCACATTGCAGAAATCTGCGAGTTTCAGTATGAAATCTGTATGGCTTCTTACCCCCTTCAAAAAAAAAAAAAAAATTACAATGCAATGATACACAAGAAATGCTGGTATGGACAGCCATCTCGTCTAAATCCATTTTAGCCAGTAGGAGAAGGAAAAATACATAGTTTAGAGCCTTCTTTGCCCTGTAAAGCTCTCACTACTTTAAACAGAACCTTGAAATTAGGTAGAAAAGTATCACGCATATGCTATATACTTCACTGTAAAGAGACAGCCAGCTTACGAGTCTTTGCAAGGTTCGTAATTCAGATGTTTTCAGCGATTCCTTCAGGACTTCAGAAGCTCAGTTCCTTGAACATTTGCCTGTAACCAGCAGACGGCCCCATGCCTGCACAGGCCTTGCGGTCATGGTGTGACTCGCCTGTGCCCGGTCCACACAGAGCTCACGTTTCTCCACTGACCCTGAGCCAGGCTAGCAGCAACCGGGAATTCAGGGAAGATCATTCCAGCTATACCAACTATAAGATTAAAAGCTTGGTCTGATTATGAGCAGACTACGGATCTCCTAGGCTGCAGGTTCATCAGCAGGCCACCTCATAGAAGTGACATCTATGTGGTAAATAGCATGGTAGAGAGGGAACACAATACCTTGTTCATCTCCCAAAAGGATGCTCTACAGAAAGAGTCAGGTTCAGCATACTTGATGAGCAGCTGACGTAATGTGATGCTCCTAATCTTTTAGAAATCTTTTATGCATGAACTGTATTTTCTTAACATGTTCGAATTGGGTACAGTGCATGAGGCAAGAACATGCACTGAAGTAGAGATAAATCAAAACACAAAAAGCTACCTGTGAAAATAACCCAATTTTATCAATAACAGTGATCCCTTGGCATAAATACTATGCATCAAAGCAGCCTAACAATCATGACAAAAGAGGCTGCATGTTGAATGCTACACAGTTGGCACAAAGGCTTCTCTGATGTATTCTTTGCAGCTATGCTGATAAAATTATTAATGCTGTTGAGCAAAATCTTTGTGAAAAAAACATCCCTGCCTGGTATGGAAACGTCAGTGGGAAGGATGTGAAAGAAGTATAGTGTGCATTCAGCTGCTGTATGAGCTGCCAAAAAAGCATCCATGTTAGCCAGATACCACCAGGCAAATACAATGAGTAGATTGACTTTCTGGGAGGAAATATCTGACAAAGATGTATGGAAGACAAGACAAAGAACAAAGTATTTCATTTTGATAGAAATGTGTTTGTCGTACTTATTCGGAGTCGGTCTAAGTATTTGGAATGGACTGGAATAATCCGGTAATTTCAATACAGAGTGCCTGAATAGCCCAATACATTGCAAGATGAGTAAGAATCATTGACTCTTTGGCTGTAAGCCGAGAGATTTAATTTAGTGATGAAGGCATCTGATCTGATGAGGACAGAGTTTCACCTAACAATGCTGTTTGCTGTATTTGTGCTGGTTTTCCTGTTTCCCATGAATTTACCTATTTAATAATACTGTCATTTCCCCTCTTCCCCTAAGCCTTGTAATACAGCACAAAAATGATGTTTACAGGAAACAAACCACAGACATACACCATGCTATGAAAGCGCAATATAACCTGGCAAATACATGTGGCTATTTGAAAAGTAGTTCTAAAGGTGAAAGCCAGCAGTTCAAACTCTGAAACCACTGGACACCCGAAGAGAGAGGCAGCTTTGCAGAGCCTGCCTTTTAAGCAGCGTATGCAGGCTTGTCCCTTCTCACAGGTGTAAGAAACTATGAACTAAGGGTATTGTTTATTGAAATTTATGTTAAGCTCAATGTAAAGGTTAGGCGGCAAAAGACAAAAAAACTGCTTATGCAAATAGCTGCCAGACACCGCTTGTGTGAGACAAGATAACCTGTGAGACAAGATGACCACGTGAGACAAGATAACCGCAATTGCTTACACAAACCAGATACTTGTGCAAGCAGAAGGGGTACTGATCAAAGACAACCACGAATGTAAAAATGTATAAAAAGGAACTGTTTGAACTGATCAGTACGGCAGTTGGCGGAGCGCAGACTCCCCTGCCGTCCAGCGCTGTCTTTGCTCGTATTCTACTTGCTATAATTAATAAAATTATAATTGGATTATGATCCATTGTGGTCTCAATTTATAACAATTTTGGTGCCGTGACTCGGATAAGGAACGGTGGGCTTCTGTCCTCCGGGGAGGCGCCCCGCGGCAATCCGCGGCCCCGCGACTGATAGCCCACCCCATCCTTACCGACGAACCTAAATTCTAGAATAATGAGCAAAGGAGAAACCGGTAAAATCCCATAAAAATTCTGTGCACGGGAGTCCGGACGAAGACGCAGGACGCGTAAGTATATTGCGAATTTGTTCGCGGGTTTACCGTTCGGGCGGGATTGGGTTTCCTGGATTATAACGAATGAGAGGTTCGATATACTGAACCAAGCGAGTGCGGACCCTTAAGTACTGCGTTTTCCATCTCCCGCGAGGGACTGGGCCAGGAACAAGGGGAACAAGTGAGTGTGTGTTTGTGGATAATCCAGAAGATGGGGGCGAAGGGCAGCAAGCCTTCGACTCCCATGGGAAGGGTACCCACTGTACCTAAGAATACCCCTCTGGCATATATCTTAGACAATTGGAGATATTTCCCTGGAACACTAGGGAAAGATAAGCAGAAAATGATAGAATATTGTACTAAGATATGGGGAGGGAAGAAGATTTCTAAAAATGTCTTTTGGCCAGTCTGCGGGTCAGAAGAAGATTGGATAAAGGCAACAATTAAATCTCTGGGTTAATAAAAAAAAAAAAAAAAAAAAAAACAAAAAAAAAACCTTAACCCGGAAGAAAGTCAGTATGCGGGAGTGTGGCTAAAAAGACCGGGAGCTAGACTTTACCCGCTGAATGAAATAAAAACTAAACAAAAGAAAAAGAAGGAAGGGTTAGACGAAACCCTTCCAACCCCCCCTCCTTACATTTCCCCTCCTGCTCCCACAGCCCCTCCAGAGGTCCCCAGAGCGCCCACTCCCCCACCGGAGTCGGAACAAGAGTCTCCCCCTCCTCCTAGACGTGTAACTAGAAGCCAAAAAGGGGCAGCTCAGATGTACCCCCTAAGGGAAATACCCATGGGGGGACCTCAACCCGTGATCGGATATATTTCCGTACCCCTAAACTCGGCTGACCTATGAGATTTTAAAAGAACCGAGATGGGAAACTTAATTGAGGACCCACTCGGAGTGGCAGAAAGATTAAATCAATTTTTTGGACCAAACCTTTATACTTGGGATGAGATGCAATCTATCCTTGGTCAATTATTTACTACCGAGGAAAGAGACATGATTAGACGAGCAGGAATGAGACTGTGGGATGCTCAACATGCCCAGGGACCTCAAGCGGATATTAAATGGCCACTCCAAAGACCTAATAGGGATAATCAGGATCCGGTGCATAGAACTCATATGCAGGACCTGAGAACTATAGTAATTCAGGGAATTAGAGAAGCAGTACCCTGTGGCCAGAATATTAATAAAGCATTTAATGAAATGCAAAAGAAAGATGAGAGCCCTACTGAGTGGCTGGAACGACTGAGGAAAGCCCTCCAGCTGTATTCTGGGATAAATCCAGACGACCCTTTAGGGCAAGCACTCCTCAAAACTCAGTTTGTGGCAAAATCATGGGAAGATATCAGAAAGAAGATTGAAAAGTTAGAAGACTGGCAGAATAGAGGGTTGGATGAATTATTGAGAGAAGCTCAGAAAGTCTATGTAAGGCGAGAGAAAGAGAGCAGCAAGTGACAAGTAAAAATGATGGTAGCAGCGGTCAGAGAGGACCGTAAAGGATGAACTGGTGAACCCAGATCTGCTGGAACAAAACAAGGGAACGTAGTAGTAAAGAAGGAACAGAGATGTTGTTTTTACTGTGGAAAGAAGGGACATATAAAGAAGAATTGCAGAGAAAGGATCAGGGATGAGGAAATATTGAAAACGGAATAGGAGAGCCAGGGGCTCTATATCTTAGGGGACCGGAGTCATCATGAGCCCTTGATAAAATTAAAAATAGGTCCCCATAAACAAGAGTTCACCTTTTTAGTAGACACTGGGGCTGAAAAATCGACTATTAAACAAATACCTGAGGGATGTAAAATTTCCCCGGAAAAAGTACAAGTAATTGGGGCAAAAGGAGAACCATTTAAAGTAAACAAAATCAAAAATGTGGTATTCGAAACTGAAAATAAATTTGGAATGGGTGAACTCCTGCTCGTCCCTGAAGCAGAATTTAATCTGCTAGGACGAGATTTAATTGTTGAATTACAATTGGAAATTAAAGTGAAAAATCAAGAGCTAACAGTGTCTACTTATCCTTTGACCGTGGATGAGCAA